CAAAGTCAATTTGCGCCTTAACGCTTTCCAACAATGCAGCTGGGTGGGTACAGTCAACCATTTGTTGACTACCAAAGATCAAGTTGTGTGCAGCTTGTAAGTGTTGCAGCTTTTCCCTTTCGCGCGCCCCTTAAATGCACTTAAATGCAGTGTAACACCAAAGTGCAAGCGTACTTGTGTGGAGAAGTAAATAAATCATGCAGCAGATAAATGTATATATCTTATTTTTGTTTTTGTTACACTATAAACAACAGCATATTTGCTCATTCGCTGTTGTTTAGCTTTAATTTATATATATATTTTTTTTATGTTTTCCCCCTTTTGTTGTTTCAATATTTCCATGATGTGGCGGCGGTGTCAAAGTTTTAGCGAAGGCTAAAAAGATTAAGGCAACAAATACTCAAGTCATAGCAGCAAAAAAAAAAACAAAATAATAACATGAAAAGAGTACTACACAACAACACAATTAACTGTTTACGATAGCAAAGCTAAGTATAAAATTAACGTTGCACTTTCACTTACAAACATAATTGTGTGCATATATACATACATACATATGTACATCTGTAAGTACAAATGTACACAGTGAGTGCATACTTACAAACATAGAAATGAAAAGTGCAAGCATGTTTACACACGTTTATTTATAATTGAACTCTTAATCCTTGACTAAGTTTTTTTTTTGCAGAATGTATGTTTGTATGTAAGTAAGTAGGTACATATAAGACCATATGTATGTATGTAGATATTAATTATTTGTAAAGAAAAGCGTTTATCGCGAGCATTTTTGTTTAGTTTAGTGCGAGGCGTTGCCATGTAGTCATGCTCAAGTGTTCATTTGGATCATTTTCGTAGTTTTATTTGTCCCAAGAGGCGAGGACTACATATAATTGTAGGCAAATTTTTAGTTTCGTTGGTTAAGGGTATTTTATTTAAAATTGGCAAATACCCGGCGTGCTTCACTGCGCCTTAAAAGTATTTTTGTATTGTTTGATACCCGTATTGTAATATTTCATTTATTTTATTAATTTAATTAAATAAAATATTTCAAACAGATGGCAACCCTCCTGAAAAATATTTTCCGAAGTAAAATTTCCTAAACCTCTTTAGTGTGATACCCATATTGCCATATTTAATTAATCTTATCAATTAAATTAAATTAAAATTTTCAAACATGTGGCAACCTCCACAAAAATATTTTTGGCTGTAAGCCTTTTTAAACCACTTTCACTTGACAGCCATATTGCAACATTTACTTTATTTTATTAATTTACTTAAACTGCAACTTTAAAACAGGTGGCAACTCTCCCATTTTTTTTTTCTTCGTTTTAAGTTGGACTCTAGAAATACATCGGTGAAAACTGCATTCAATTTCATGCCTTAGTTTTCCAGTGATGCGCGTACAAACATACAGACATACAGACAGACAGGCAAAAATTCTAAAAATTGTCGATTTGGATTCTGTTTTTCTGTAATTTTTCTTTATATCTACAATGTACAGACATCGGCCTGTTACAATCTTAAAAATGGAGAGATTTGGCTAGCTATTTTTTCAGTTGGCATTTTAACCCCGTAACTCCTACTGTAATGGACTTTTTTGACTTTTATTTTAAAGAAGCTCCAAGTATCTTTAAAAACACTTTTAATAAAATGTAAACAAGCACATCTTTCGTAAAAACGATTGGTAGATGACGAGAGTTTTAAAAATTTATTGAAAATTACGGCTGCAATTGCTGTGTAAAAGTTTCTATATTTGTGTGTAGTTGTATTGTTTGAACACGACGAGGAATACGAAGTGGAATACGAAGACAAGTACCAATCCAAAGACCAACAAATACCAATACGAAGACAATAACAAAGGCTAATACGAATGCGAAGAGCATTCGAAGAGCGAAGATGTATTCGTAGACCAATACGACGAGTAAGAAATGCGTACACTATGACGAATACAAACACGAAGACGTACATAAATGGGAACAAGAATGCAAGGACGAGTAGGAAGAGGGATACGAAGAGTAAAGGAAGAAAAATGCGCAGGCCAATATGAAAACGAAGACGACGACAAATACATATATGAAGACAAATAAGGGGAAGAAAACGAAGACGTTTATGAACACAAATACGAATATAAACGCAAAGCAGAATACGAATTCGAATATGACGACCATGATGAATACGAAACGAACAAAAACAAGAAGACGTATATCAAAATGAATTCGAATACGTGGGCGAATACGAAGACAAACACGAACACGAATACGAAGTCGAACAAGAATACGAAGAAGAGGACTACCACGAATATGATTGGGAAGTCGAAGACAAACACGACGACAAAGTTTAATACGAAGAAAAATGCAATGAGGAATACGAAGGCGACTACACAATACGATCCGAAGACGAACATCAAGACAGCGACTGAAATGAATACGAAGGCGAATACGAATATGAAGACAGCGATAACATCGAAGAAGGAACAATCTTCGAGACCGTAAATAAAAAATACAAAAGCGGCCGACTTTCAGCAGTGACGACACTCAAAAAAAAGTATCAGTACCGACTTAATACACGTTGTGTTAAAATGAAGCATTAAATATTAAAAATTTTCGGTATCAATATAACCATTAATAATATAAAAAGTGTATTGAAAAATATTGGATTTGTATTTTGGTTATTAATTTGATGAGAAAAAACTTAAGTTGTTTCCTTAACAATATCAAGTTGAGACCTGTTTAGTCTTTTTGTTTTCAATGAAACAACAAAAACTATCATAGATGCCCGAAAGTTTCTCGTTGGTGACTGAATAGCATTATCCTGATGACACCTTTATTTGAGTAAAAGTGTTAACACAAAACAATTTTACTACCCTAATTAAATGCGTGAAAATAAGTGTAAATCTTAAACTACAGTAAAAAAAAAATGTGGAGAAAAACCATTTTGGAGTTCGAATACGTTCCACATACTAAAGCAAAATATTACAATTTTGTTCCAGAGTGCAATATTATGAATTTAATACGTCATATTTTGCTCTGTTTAGCCTCAAAGTCGAGTATTATTAGTTCCAAATTTCCTCCTCTCTCCATTTTTAAGCCTCAAAAAGTTTAATTTTCAATATTCATTCCTCTGCTGCCGACAGCAATGAAACTCGATCCATTCAAGGAGAAACCTAAACCCAAAAAAGTTAAAAAAAAAAAAAATCATTACAGAATTTATTTAATGCAATTAATTATTTTCTACCCTGCCGGCATTGCCAAAATTTTATAAAGTGGATTTACAGTTAAATGCAGGCCAAGTACTTCATGCGCTTACTGCGGCAATAAAAGCTTCTAGAAGGGCAACTACTTGTGTACCACATACGAGTAAGTATAATACAGAACAGAATTTTTTGAAAGTGGCTTTTTGCTTTTGCAAAAAATTACGAGTACAAATTAACAAACAAAACATAAATCAAACTCAAATGTTTGCAGCAGCTTGTGGCAAGCTGAAATGCTGCTATGTACTAGGTATGTACGTATGGCGGCTGTGGCAGCAGCAACAACATGGCGCAATTAATTTTTATTGATAACCACAATTAATCGCAGTTTGCTGCTGTGCGGTCGATAATTTGTCAAATGTGCCCTCAATTTTGAACAAACGATTTTTTTCTTTGTTTATCAGCAAAAAATTCTTACCCTGTTTTTTTATGTTTGTAATTTTTTTTTTTTTTGGCGGCGTTGGGTTACTGCATTCAAAATATGTACGTATGTATGTACATTGGACCATACCGAAAAAAATACGCCCTACAGCCCTGTGTGTAAAATATTTTTGCAAGGCATGCCGACGTATTTTTTTGTTTGCTTATAAGGTGGTACGGTCTAATGTACATACACCGTCCCGTCCCTGTCCCCTTGCTTGCGCCATTGTTGGTGTATTGGTTGGAGTATGATGGTACAGTTATGGTAAAAATTTTTACCGCAGAATTATTTAACATCAAAAGTTCTTTCCTCATCCAGAAATATTGACTTTGCGTCTTCAGAGTCGTCTCGGTAGGTCCATAGGTCATTTTATACGATTGTTGTACACTTGAAGGGTTTATCAATAGATCAAAAATCTGTTGTTGTAGGGACTTATCGCCACGCTGTAATGAATTTTCTCAGCATAGAGAAAGGCAGGGCCATTGACTCTGGGTGCTAGGGATGTGCGACATTTCCCAGCAAGCCTTGACTTATTTACTTTGGATTCTAATACTTTCAACGGCGCTTGGCTGTCAACTAGTATAGTGACTTCCTCTAATAGAGACGATTCTGTTTAAGACAAGCAACCTTCTCCATAGGAATGAATTCCGCTTGAAAGAAACTATACAGTGGCTGGCGATGTAATTGGTTGATCTGCAAGTTCTCATTCGAAAATCCTTTCTGGCTCCGGAAATGGAAGTCCCGAAACGGCTTCCCTGCCTTAAGGGCTATCTGTAGTTGTCAAGAAAAATTACAAAAAAATTTGTTTCATTATTTCTCTTCCTTGAAAAAGTACTTTGCTGTTGCTGTAAATTTTCTTGAAGAAATATGTAAATGTACAAGCATTTTTTTCTTGAAAGCTGCAGACTGATTTAAGAAATTTTAATAGAAAAGAAGAAGAAAATTTCTTTCCATTTCTTGTGCGTTTTTTTTAAAAAGCTGCAGAGAGCACTTTGGGAATAAGTGTCACCCTGACCTCCAACCAAGCTTTGGGCAAACATCCTGTAAAGATAGATACTCTTCAAATGGGGTTCCACGTTTTCACAAGTGTGTTGAAACATGCCCGGCCGGCACCAGCTTATACAATCTTGCGGAAATGAAAAAAATTACACTAAAATGGGGAAAAAATTAAGTACACAGAAATTTATATATTTTTTATATTTTAAGAAGTAATTTTAGCAATGGTTCAATAAAAAAAAAATTATTTACATTTTTGACTCAGATTACATCAAATATTTCAACTAATTTCTCTAAAACTCAACATTGATAAATATTTTCATTTCGTTTCAGGTTTGTGCGCAATTAAATCTTACAATACATCACACGTTTCTTTGAATTTCCAAAAGTGAGTTAGAACCTAAATTTAAATTTAATTTTATAAGTAAATGAGTTGTTTTTCTGATTATGAGATTTATGATTTTCACTTCATTACAGTTTAAGTTAATATGACTTGCCACATTTCACTGCTAAAAAGAGTAGGTGGCAACCCTAGTCAAAAATATTTATATATGTTGTTTTGAGAATCGTATTACAAGATTTCCGTGACTGAGTTTTTTCAGATAGCCTCGATAGTTATAGTGTGTTTAGGCCTTTGCCTAAATAGTTTAAAAATTTCATACCGCCCTAATGCCGTACATTTAAAGCGCATTTAAAAATTATTATCATTCAAATCGTTTTCATATAAAATTAGTTTGCATATTTTTCATAATACTTAAATCACTTTGATCACTTTCTAAAAAAAATTTAGATTTTTTTACAGCACACTCCCATGCACTTGAAGAGTTCAAAAGTTTTTTCGCTTTTTTCTGGACTATTTTTATTTAATTAAATTTCCATTATTTTTTCGAATAAACCACAGTTATTTTTCAATTAAAATACAGTTCGTTCCCTAAAAGCAAGTTTCAAACTTTGTAAAAAATTAAAAAAAAATTATCTAAATTTCAGAAAATTTTATCTATATGCGCATGTTCCTATTCGATATATTGAAAAAATCAACGGCAATTGTTGATAATTCAGACTTGCACTTAAATTTAATGGGCTACAAAACTGCATATTTAAAAAAATTCTTAAAATTCTAACAAAAAAATGTGAAATTTTGATGATTTTTTTTTTAATTTTCTAAACTAAGTTTGAAACTTGCATTCATACGTATGGATCTTGCTAGTAAAAGAACTTTTTTTAATGAAAAATAATGGAAATTGAATAAAAGAAAAATAACCCCGAAAAGAAAGGGGAACGGCATTGTTCCTATTAAAGTGTATAAGAGTGTATTTATGCATTCCGATATGAGGGGACCGTGCTAAGTTATTTTTTAATTTAATTTAATTTACTTTTTAAGCTAAATAATCGCAATTAAACATATAATTTGAAGCTATTAAAATAATCAAAACATTTGCAAACCTGTTTTTGCTGCCATTGTACGTTTGAATTTTTTTTTTTTTTTTATAACAGTAGGTGGTAAAAAAATTTCCCTTTGATGCAGAGGAATGCCAAGTAGCGCCTCGTTCAACCAAAATTTGTTTGCATGCCGTCTTCATTAACTAAAAAAAAAGCATAATTTTCCACGCGTCGTAATGCCATTAAAAAGAAAATTTCACTTTTTACTGAAAAATCTCGTACGACAACATTTTGGAACGTCAAGAGCGTCGCCAAGCGCTTGGATCGATGGTGGTGGGTGGTGTGGTGGGGAACGGAGGTGCGCGCGATTTGCGCCAACAAGCAGATGCGTCCGATGAAAATGATTGGCAACAAACGCGTTAAGCGGCCATAAAAAAGTTTGGTAACAGCAGCTTTTTTTTTTTGCCAGGGAAAATTTGTTGACGTCGGCAGCGAGCCGAGGAAGGGGGCGCGAGGGTGTGATAGTCGATTGAAGCCTGGCGCTTTTAGTTTGGTTGCTCGGCTTTGGCATTTAGTTGCTGGCGCGTTTGTTGCAGCGGCTGGAAAAACGTATTGCAGCCACGAAATTCGTGTTGCAACTCGACAATTGCATGCATGCGTCTACTCTGCTTACTATGTATCTACATACACACATGCTCTATGTGTGATTCCCCAACGCGAGTTCCTCCTCCGACTCCGCCGCCGCCGCCATCAACACATTTGTAGACAATTGCATTCGCAGTCAACACGCGCGCCAAATGATGGCAGTTGCTCATGTTTTTGTGGCTGCGAGCTGTGAGTTGCTATGGCTATGTCGTCGTTGTTGCAACATAAAAATGCTGAATTGCTGCTGGTCGGTCGGAAAATGCATACCATTCGAGTTGAAGTCGCTTTTCTGCAGCCTATTTGCCATTAACTACTCTAACTCTTGTGGCCCCCCCCCCTCCTGCCAGCATCGCCTACTCCTACTTTGGCTTTGGGCCAACTTCTGCATAAACGTGGCTTACAAGCGTGTTGTTTTAGTTGTTGTCTTTGTTTGCAAATGGTTAGTGTTGCCATGTGCTTGATGCCGATTTTTCTTGCCATTCCAAAACAATCATGTTATGCGTGTTTGCTCGTTGTTGCTGTTGCTTTGGGTGACGCAAAGTGGCTGTGACGCCAAAGAAAGGGCCAAAGCAAACAAAACTAGCAAAAATGCTGCAGACATACAATAAAATAAAAAAAAAAAACACAAAAAGCATTGCCGGCACAAAAATACATAAAATAAATAAAAGAATAAAAAAAAAAATTTATGCAAATATATATTGCTGCGCCGCTGGTGATGGCTGTTGAGAGCCGCGCTTTGCACTTACTATGTAACTGCACATACATGCACATGCGTGAGTGTGCTGCTTTCATAGTGCATTTTTCCGCGCCGAAGTAAATGCCGCAAGGCGACCATAAAGCCCGACATGGCCAGCTGGTTGCTGTTGGCTGCTTGAAGAAAGGCTGGCTGCAACGCCAAAAACAATACCAACAACCGCAATGCATAATAATTGCAAACACTGTTAGTAAGTTGCGACAAGCCGGCAACACTTTTTTCTCTTTTTTTTTACCAATTTTCTTCTCTTGTGTCCAACGTACGTATGTATGTATGCCTGTTGGCATGAGTGTAAGAAGAAAAGTACAGAACAGCGGTAGGTGCGGCATGGCAGCCGTCGCACACTGGGGCCAAGCGTGCTCAAAACTAAATTTTGAAAAAATCATTTTTTTTTTTTTGGAAAAATAAAAACGCAGTTTTATTTCACATTAAATTCTACATTTGGTGGTAAGTTTTCAGCTTTCTATAATTTTTCGGCTGGGAGATATGTGTGTTCAAACTTAACAAATTTGAACAATATATATTTTTTTTATTTTTTTCAAAACTGAGAAATTCAAATGTGCAATTCAAAATGTAAATGTAAGAAAGCGGTATTATGTTTCGTTATTTTGTTTTTTCCATTTCTTAAAATTAAGTTTGTTTTTTTTCTATCTTTTTTTTTTTGATTTATGTGTTTAAAAAAATTACGTCTATAAAAAACTAAGCCTCTGCTATTGCTGCTTTTCAAAATCATTTTTTTTTAAATGCGCCAAGCAGATTATTTTAATTATTTAATGTTTTTAATTTGATACATTATTTGCTTTTCGATATTTTGTATGCTTAATTTGTAAATCTTTTTAAATTTAAAGCATAATAGGGCATACTCATAGTCGAATTAAAGATGAAACTAAAAATAATTTCGACTTTTTTTGGCAAATTTTCTTAAAAAGTGTTGTCAGAGAGCTGTAATTATTATTACTTTGTAACCTTAACTTTAACTTTGTAACCTTAACTTACCTATTTTTAATAAAATTAGCTGGGGAAAGACTCTGTAAACAACTTGGCCACTAATGGGTTAAAATGTGGTCATCAATGCGTTAAGTCAAAGTCGTAAATGGGTTGAATTATTCATAATTTGCATAATAATAAAATCAAATTAACTTATCAGAAGACATAAAAAAAACTGGGTCACCAATGGCTTAATGCATGATCAACAATGGGTTAAGACGTATACAATTTACTCTTAAAATGTAGTTTAAGTGAGTCTAATTGAAGGAAAATGATTTCAGAATTTTGAGCACCCGCTTATATGGGGCGGCCCCAGTGTGCGTCGCGACGTTAGCAGTGGTTGGACAGCATGGAATGTGGTTTGCTATTTAGTTATAAAATGCGCATTTTTGCAATTTCGTTATGCCTTAAGCCGCCTGACGCATAAAAGATGGGCAAAATGAAATACATTAAATAAAAAAAAACGAACGAAAAACATTGCCAGGCATCTGACGATGTGTGAAATTTTATGCATATGTGATTATAGTTACGTGCAAAAGCGCATATGCAATGATGTTTCGTTATAAATATACACAATGCATACATGTGGATGTACATTAGAGTGGTGCAATTTTTTATCCTAGAAAACGGGCCCCCCCTTAGTTTTTTCCTTTTGATATGAGTAATATCTATACCAACTTTAAATTGTTCGCTGTAACCAATAGAGGGCGCTCAATGACCATGAAATGCGCTACTGATGGTGATTTTTATAAAAAGCTACTGTTTCCATGACAACTGAAGGTTGTGATATTTTTTTCAGATAATTTAAATTTGAAATGTTTGTAAATTTATACATAGAAACGTATACATAGTTTGGTACCAGCACCTCTTTTGGCAATAGGAAAAATTTTGGAAGGTGCCACCCTATCTCAAAAAATTTTTTTTTTGGATCATGCTAATGTACATATGTACATGAGCACACAAATACATGCAGCTCGAGGCAAAAGAGTGTTGCAAGTATTTATTTCTTGGCTAATATTTTCATGTCCTCGAACTTGGTCACATATATTGAATACTAGCCTTTGTCGGCAGAGCTTACAGCAATTCGCAGCTGAAAGCTAATTTTTAGATGGTTGTGACCAGTCAGGTACTCGGAGAGCAGCCTCACATAATTTCTATTTAATAAAATAATTCTATATAGCGCCCACCGCTCTTTAGCACTTAGTGCGTTCAGAGTGTATCCACTCAGTAATAATGAACCAACTGAGATCCCAGAATGTCTCAGATCCCAAAAAGACAGTTTGCGACTCTTATGACCAGCTGCTTGACTAGCAGGGAGCCCTTCGAGTTCGGTGATTTTCATATTAAATTATCCAAAGTCAAACATATTCGTTAGGCTGGAAATGGAATCGAAAGGAATCCACTTCTCACCAATTAAGAATTGGGTACTAAATGCCTAAAGCTGAAACTAGCAAAATATATTACTAAAAGTAAGTTCTCGCAAGCATCTACATAGTTATGTGCCAATTTTGTTTTTGTTTGACTGTTGTTGGATAGCTGCTACTGTTTATGTTGCTGATATTGCCAAGCTACTGGCTTCATATTGCTATACATATGTATGTACATAGCTGCTGTGGTAACAC